TTTACCTGTTCCCAGTCAGAAGACTTTGATTACTGTCCAGAGTGTGAACTAAATGGTAGGCGTTATGTGGCTCAGGAAAATAAATGTTCCGAATGTAGTGATGGCTCCGGAATAATCAAATTCCCCCAGCAACCCCCGCGGAATTGTAAACTGTGCTACTTAACCCCAAGAAACGAAGTTGCTAGAAGCTCAAACGAAGTTGTTGTTAGACCAAATTTTGCTAAATAAGATGACCAAACACCAAGAATTTACCGGCTGAATAGTCAGTAAAGAACAGAAAAAAGTTTATGATAAAGGGGAATGATACGGTAATATCAAACTAACTAAGCAGCAGCAAGTTTTGGCAGACTTAGCCCAAGAACTAACCCGCCAATTACAAGCCCAACTAACTCAAAAAGACACCGAGTTAGCCAATCTAAAAAAGACCAGTGAGGAGCAAGAAAAATTACTAACTAAATTAGAAATAGAAAAAAAGGCTCTCCAAGCCCAATTAGAGCAAACTCAAACCATTAACACTGCTTACCAAAACCAACTAAAAGCCCAAGAAACGGAATTGCAGCAATTAGAACAAACCAAAACCCAAGAACTAACCAATTTTAAGCAATTAGTTAAGGGGAAGTTAGCCCTTATTAAAGAGAGTAATCAGAAAATCTTAAAAACAATAAAATTGACTTATAATTAGTCCTTATGAAATCCCTAAACAGAAACAATATTATGCGAACACAAAAAATAATTAACCCTAATCCAAACAAACAAAAAGAAACTCAACAACTAGCCAAATCCTGAGAAGAAGGAAAAAAAAAATTAGAGAAAAAAATTGCTAGTGAAAAAAATAAGAAAGAGAAAGTCAAATTAGAAATTTATCACACTTTTTTTCTTAATAATGAATTTGATAAAAAACAAGGAACTATTAAAGAAAAAGTCGGAGAAAAAGAACCGAGCGAAGTTTCTTGCGGATCAAACGAAATTAAGTAGGGTATGAAAAAGTTTATTGAGTATGTAGTTAATAAGGCTTATCGTTACTATTATTACAATTATTACGCTAATATTAAATCCTTAATGTCTCCCGAATGGCAGGAAAGAATAGAGAAAATTCGGCAAGAGCATTTTATTTCTTTTGGTGATTTCGAATTTAGTCACGATTGATATGGCCGAAAAGTAAGTTGAGAAATAAAACTAACCAAAGAATTTTCCTTTAATAAACACACTATTTACTTAAACCAGCATTTTCTTTTTCAGATGATGGGTTATCAAACTGATAGCAACGAGGAATACACTTACGAAAAATTACTGGAAACTATTGCCCATGAAATCGCTCATTGTATTGTTTATGATTTATATGGTGAACACAAAGGGCATGGTGATAAACACAAAATAATAACCGAAGAACTGAAACACTATTTACTGACTGACAAAACTATGAAAATATTGCAAAAAGATTGAGAATAAATGAATGTATAAGATTTTCCTAGTTCTCGCCTTGCATAAGACTATTTACTAATGACCGAAATTCAAGAACTTAAAAACAATAAAAAACTAGAAGAATACACTAAAAAACGCGAAGAGTGAAAAGAAAAAACAAAACTTCGCGAAAGATTTGCTGCCTTTATTGCTAGCTTTGCCTTTTTCCCAGCTTGAATAGTAGTTCAATTATTTACTGAGTATAAGTCTCTTGGGTGATTAAAGGATTGTCTAATTTCTTAATTATTTGGTTTTATTTTCTGCCAATTCAACTCTTTGAATTTTTTCATTTATAGTAGGCCCTGTTTGTTAAAATAAACTTTTCTAGTTCAATAGTCAGTAAAAATAAACTTTATAAGAGGCTGAATAGCCACCAGCGGGAGTAATCGAATCATAGAGATAAAAACTTAAAAAATGTTTGTTAAACTCTTATCATATCTCGAATAAATAATAAATGAAATTAGAATATTTACAAGAATTAAACACCCAACAAAAACAAGCGGTTTACGAAGAATACCCTCGAATATGCGTTATTGCCGGACCCGGCTGTGGTAAAACAAAAACCTTAGTAAGTAGAGTTATTTATTTGTTATCTAGCCAAAAAGCCCAACCGCAAAATATCCTGGTTTTAACTTTTGCCAAAAAAGCTATTAAGGAAATAAAAAAACGGGTTTTTTCTTATGTTACTATGGTTTCGCCCAAAGATTTACATATTTACAATTTCCACTCTTTTTGTTTTCATGTTCTCAATAAGCATTCTCATTTACTCGGTTTTCCTGAAAGCAAGTTTCCCGTTTATGGCCGCTACGAACAAGAAGTAATAATTCGCAAAATACTTTTACAAAATAATTATAATACCGAAAAAGGGGAGATAAATACTATTCTGGCTGCTATTAGTGGCTGGAAAAACGGTAAATTAAGCACTGACCCGCTCCAATTTGACGAATTAACTAAAAAAAGATACGAAATATACCAAAAATACGAAGAATATTTAAAAACTAATAAGGCGCTGGATTTTAATGATTTGCTTCTTTATACCATTACTCTCTTTAACTATCATCCCCAAGTTCGCAAGGAATATCAGGAACAATTTACTCATATTCTCTTGGATGAATTTCAAGACATTAATAGTATTCAATGGGAAGTAATTAAGTTAATTTTGAGTGCCAAGCAAAATGTTTTTTTGGTGGGAGACCCCAATCAGGCTATTTATGGTTTTCAAGGGGCCACCCCACAATTAATTGCCTCTTTTACGCAAGATAAGGAATGAAAAACTATTTACCTAAATATCAATTACCGGTCAACCAGTAATATTTTACATTTGACTAATTCTTTTGTGGCTAAAAATCAACCCAGTTTGGTTAATAATTTGCTTAATTCTTCCCAAGCAGAAGGAGTGAAGGCAAATTGGCTGACCCGCGTGTCGGCACGATTTATTATTGGCAAAATCCACCGTTTACTATGACAAGAAAAATTTCAGCTTAGTGATATTGCTATTTTGTATCGCAATAATTATCTTTCTAGTCGCATAGAACAGGAACTAGTCAGTCAAAAAATCCCTTACGAAATATTAGGTTCTTTTAAATTTATCGAACGAGAAGAAATTAAAGATATTTTGGCCTTCTGCCGCACTATTCTTTACCTTGATAATTTATCTTTATTACGGGCTTTAAGTTTACAAAAAAAAATTGGGGCTCGCACAATCGAAAAGATAGAAGGAAACAGCGAAAAAGAGGGAATAAGTATTTATAATTATCTCAATAATTTCGCTACTATTACTAATTTAAGCCAAGAAAAGTTTATGACAGGCCAAGCCGAAAAAATTGCCGAAGTTATTTTAAAAATTAATAATTGACAAGAAAAATTAGTCCAAAAAATTTCACTCAGCACTTTTCTCTTAGGCTTACTAAGCGATTTTAATTATTGAGAACCCTTAAAGACCCGTATTAATTCGACCGAAAGAGAAAATAATATTAAGCAATTTCTGAATATTGTCCAAAATTGGGAAAATAAACGCCAAAAAAAATATTCTAATTTAGGTGAGCTATTAAATACTTTTTTACAGTGAATTATTATTGCTTTTGAAGATAAGAAATTAATTAAAACTCGCAATAACCTTATTCTTTCCTCGGTTCACCAAGCCAAAGGTTTAGAGTTTGAATGCGTGTTTTTTATTTATTTGGATAAAGGCACTTTACCTTATCATGAAGCCCAAGACTTAACCGAAGAAAGGAGATTATTTTATGTGGGTATTACTCGTGCTAAAAGGCTATTATATTTAGTAAATAGTCAGGAATTATATTCGCCTTTTTTGGATGAATTAGAAAAGAGTTGGTTAGAAGTTAATAATAAGTAGAAAAATTAATACTATAAAATTATCTAAGTAGAATCAGTACAACATTGTTTTTTTTGAAGTAAAAAAAGAAAATATTAAAAAAATATATTATATTCACCACATGTACAGAAACCGCCTTGGCATAAGCCAGATAAATAAAACATGAAATATCTTTACTCCAAACTGTTTGAATGAGTGATTGTTTGATTTATTAAGTGAGAAATTCGATAAGAAGTCATGTTTAATTTTAGACCCTTGTGTAGGTAATAGACAGTTGCTATCCCCTTGAAAAAAAGCCGGTTATGAAGTCGAGGTCATTGGCATAGAAGGCAAAGGATTTCCGAACACGAGAAAGATGGATTATCTGCTTAGTGAAAAAAAAGATTATAAAATTTCTCCTCGTTTGGTTATTATTAATCTGCCTTTTAATATCCATGAAGACATGGAAGAGCAAAAAACTACTTTTAAATATCTAACAGAAAATGGATGAACTAAGTGTCCTTTTCTCCCAGAAGTATTTCTAGCGAAAACCATCGAGTTATTTGGAAAAAATGCCCCTATCCTTCTTTTTACTCCTTATGGAATGAGATTTAATTTAACATTGGAAAGCAAAAGATTTTTGAGATTCGATAGCGGTGATTATCCCGAAATAAGCAGTATAATTACCCTTCCAAAAAATATCTACAATTTGGATAATGATGTTGAAAAACAGCGAGCGTAGAACACTTGGTGCCACAAAATCCATCTGCGAACACCCAAACTCTAAAGTTTTTGGAGAGGATACCATTTATTCACTCAGAAATGTTACACTGTTGGAAGGTAAGTTAAGCTCCCGGATGTCTAACGACATCTGAAAAAGAAAAAAAATAGGAATCAAAAGCCGTGGCAATGATTGTCCGTTAAACTTGGAAGTAAGTCCTTTATTTGACCTCGAGGAATTAACTCCTGAAGGCATAAAAAACAGATCTGAGTTGTTGCTTAATGAGTTGAAAAACAAAATGAAATTATTTGATGCTTTCTGGATTAGCAGGGACCTTGTCAAAAGAAAATAGTAAAAGACTCAAACTTAAATAAGAATGTTACAAGCCACACTGCAAATATTAACCGAACTCCTTAATTTTATATGAAAAAGACCAAAAGATACTTACAGCAATTGCCTTCTCAGCAACTTTTACAAGAAATTCAAGACTTTATTGCTGCCCGGCCGAACCATAAAAGCGAAAGAAAAAGGTGATTACATTACTGTTTATTTCTCTTATGCTGAAAAGTTGGCTTGCGAATAACCGAAGCGATTAGTTTTAATCTTGAACTGAAACACCCCGAACCAGAATACCAAGAATTGTATTTACTGCGCGGGAAAAGAAGAAAAGACCGCTATGTTTACATTTCACCCGATATAATAGAAATATTAAAAAAGCATAATTGAGAACCTAATAAGACTAGTCGACGGGATTTTTGAGAGTTTTTAAAGCGAGTGCGTTATGATTTACAAATTAGCCCCCATATTGAGTTAGCCCCCCATACTTTACGTCGTTGCTTTGCTACTTATAATCTGCTAGCAGGAATGCCTCTGAATATTTTACAAAGAGTATTAGGGCACAGTCGCGTTTCTACTACGGCCTTATATATTAAGGATAGTGATTTAGCTAATTTGCTAAAATTTAAGCCTATTTAGTAAGCAGAAGTGTATATTACAACACTACTCAAATAAAATGTTAATTTTTTTAATTTAGTTTTATATATACTGAATGAAGAAACTACATTATTAATTAAAATCTAATCTTTTCTCAAAATCACCCAATAAATTACT